CAAATCTGGTTTAGACCCTGCGTCCCTTATAACACGTCTTTGAGCTCTTTCAGACCTGGTTTAGTCCTGGTTTAGTCCTAGTTTAGTCTTGGTTAAGTCCAATGTATAGTTCAGGTTTAGTTAAGTCTTGGCTTAGTCTTGGTTCAGTCCTGTTTTAGTACTGGTTTAGTCCTCGTTCAGTCTTGGTTCATTCCTGGTTTAGCCTTGGTCCAAGTCTGGTCCAGCCCTGGTTCAGCCCTAGTTCAGTCCTGGTTCAGTCCTGGTCCAGCCCTGTTTTAGTCCTGGTTTAGACCTGGTTTAGTACCAGTCTGGTCCTGGCACGGCGTCTCTCTTCACCTCACAGCACCTCTGCAACTCATGTTCAAACTATGTGAACCACGGAAAGTTTGTTTTTTCCTCAATTTAAACCAAACGTCGTAAACTTTAACAAGAGACAAACCGCAGAGCCGGCACAAAGAAAACCCCAGATGCCCTTCCTGTGCACCGGATGCCCTCCTAGTGTGTCAGATGCCCTCCCAGATCAACCCAAAACATGCACAAAAAGTCAAATCCTCCAGGTAAGGAAGTCCTGATCAAGACCAGCTCAAGATCTAGAGATGGTCCCTCTGCTCCTGACAGGTTTAACCCAGAGGCACTGAAGGATGGGTCAAACGCAGAGGACACATTTCCCCACAGGGACCTTAACCCGGTGTACCAGATGCCCTCCCGTGCTCCTGGTTTAAGTGAGGTCTCTCATTTGTCCTGATCAGAAAAACAGTGGAAAGAGTTTTTAATGAGAGACTGGAAACTCTGCAGAGGTCTGACATCATCCACTACTCACTGCCTAAGACGTCTACAGTACAGTCCCGGTGTAGGCCCGGTTTGGTTTAGCCCTGTTTAGTCCTGGGTTAGTCCCCGTTTAGTCCTGGTTTAGTTTAGTCGTGGTTCAGTCATGGTTTGGTGTGGTGTAGTCCTGGTTTAGTTCTCACTGAGTCATGGTTTAGTTCTGGTTTAATCCTGATTTAGTCCTGGTTTAGTCCTGATTTAGTCCTGGTTTAGTTCTGGTTTAGTCCACATTCAGTCCTGGTTTAGTTCTCAATCAGTCCTGGTTTAGTCCTGATTTAGTCCTGGTTTAATCCTGATTTAGTCCTGGTTTAGATTTCAGTCCTGGTTTAGTCCTGATTTAGTCCTGGTTTAATCCTGATTTAGTCCTGGTTTAGTCCTGATTTAGTCCTAGTTCAGTCCTGATTTAGTCCAGGTTTAGTTCTCATTCAGTCCTGGCTTAGACCTGGTTTAGTCCTGGTTTAGTTCTGGTTTAGTCCACATTCAGTCCTGGTTTAGTTCTGATTTAGTCCTGGTTTAGTTCTGGTTTAGTCCTGATTTAGTCCTGGTTTAGTTCTGGTTTAGTCCACATTCAGTCCTGGTTTAGTCCTGATTTAGTCCTGGTTTAGTTCTGGTTTAGTCCACATTTAGTCCCTGTTTAGTCAGGGTTTCGACCTATGTTTTAATGACTGTGGTTGGTATATTTTTGGTTAAGTCCTGTTTTAGGTCCTGGTTTAATCTTGATTCAGTCCTGGTTTAGTCCCGGCCGGCTCGGTCCCGGTTTAGTCCTTGTTTAGTCCCTGGTTTAGACCTGGTCCTCATTTAGTCTCCAGTATTTGTGTCAACATGTTTGTGTTTTATTTCAGACGAGGTAAACTACAGGAGTGGAAAATAACAGCATTTACATGACGACATCAACAGAGAGAGAGAGAGAGAGAAGAGGGGAAGAGAGGCAGGGACAGAGGAGGGGGGGTAAGAGAAAGAGGGAGAGAGGTAGACAGAGGAGGAGAGAGAGAAAAAGAAAGAGAGAACTAAATGTATGCGTTTTTGATTGTTGGATAATGTGGGCAGAAGAGAGAGAAAGGAGTTAGTAAGAGCGAGAGATAAGGGCTGGCAAGGATAGAAGGACGGAGGAAGAGAGTGAAAGAGAAGAGACAGACAAACAGAGAGGTGATGGAGGAAAGAGAAGAGAGAGAGAGAGAGGAGTAAAGAGAGGGCAGAGTGTGTGTCACTTGACCCCTGTTAAACTGTCAGGTTTAATAGTGTGTGTAGTGTTTGAACAAACCCTGTGTGCAACTGTACAGTCAATATTAGAACAGAGAGAACAAGAGAGGAAGAGAGGAGAGAGGGACAGAGGGAGGGACGGGAGGGGAGGAGAGAGAGAGGGGACGCCCGGGGAGCGATGGAGAAGAGAGAAAGGGAAAAGAGAGGGGGGAAAGAGAGAGGGGAGGAGAGGGAGAGATGGAGAAGAGCGAAAGGGAGAAGAGAGAGGGAGGGGAGGAGAAAGAGGAGAAGAGAAAGGGGGAGAAGAGAGAGAAGAGAGAGAGAGAAAGAGGAGAAGAGAGGAGAGGAGAGGAAAGGGAGAGATTGAGAAGAGAAAGGGAGAAGAGGGGAAGAGAGAGAGATGGAGCACACAGAAAGGGAGAAGAAAGAGGGAATGGAGGGGAGAGGAAGGGAGGAGAGAGAGGGAGAAAGGGAGGAGAGGGAGGGTGAGAGGGAGGGAGGAGGACGGGAGGGAGAGAGAGGGGAGGAGAGGGAGAGATGGAGAAGAGCGAGAAAGACAAAGGCAGAGAATGAAAGAGAGAGTGAGAGAAAGAAAGAAAGAAAGAAAGAGAAGGCGGATACAGTTTGTCATTAGCAGGACATACGCTGGTTGTGTTGCGATAACGCTCTGAACGGGGAGTAACTCAGCGCGGAGAGCAAAAGAAATAGGAGACCGAACAATTAGGCAAAAATGCAACCGAAACGAGGACGAGAGTCGGTCGTGGGTCTTTCTCTGAACCCAGATGCCCTCCCAAAGGCGCCTCTGTCTGCCCTAGTCTGACCCGATTAGGAAGATTGGAAAAAGAGGAGGAAGAAGAAGACGAAGAGGACGAGGCTGGGGCGTGGTCTCTCTCTCAATCTGATAAAACCCGATGATTTACGACGAAACGACGAGCTGATTCTGCAGGCGGAGAGGTGGAGAAATGTGACATCATAAATCCATCTGTCATCAAGGAGAGAGGAATGGAGGAGGAGAGAAAGAGAGAAAGAGAGAAAGAGAAACAGCTTATTCGCAATAATTTGTTCCATGTTTTCCAAATAAAAACAAAGTCATAAACAGACATGGGTTAGAGATGCTACAGATCGATAAAACGCTGAAGTGTGGAACCCGCAGCCAACACAACATGGGATTGATTTTTTCTTTCCGTTTTTGTCGCCGTGGATACAGTAATAACGTTCGAGCGCCGTGTGTGGAGTGAGTGAATAATGAGTACAGTGTGGCGCTGTGAGAGGTTTGGACAGGCCTGTTAACGTGGAACTAAACACTGAATCAACTTTCTTTTTGGTGACTCAACTGTGTGTACGGTGTTTGAATAGCTTCGACTGTGCTTTTTTTTTAAGCAATTTTAGTGAGAACTGGGTAAACGTGCAGCTCAAAAGTGCAGCGCAAAGAGTCTAGCGGCCTCTGCAGTTTCAAGTACTATGTGACATCACACAGAACTGCCTTGGTAGGTGTTTCTGATTACAAATGGCTGAATGCAGGGGCGGAGTTTCAATCTTCCAAAATATCGGTTCACTTGATATCCTGGTTCAACATATAAATTGATGTGGAGTTAATTGTGGATTAAGTGAGATTCAGGAGCAGGACCACGCCTCAATGTCCCCCTGCTCCTCTCCAGCCAACCACAGCTCAGCTCAACCACGCCTTCAGTTACCCAGAAGCCCCATTGTCTCCGTTCTCTTAACTCCCTCTCTCCCACCCTGTGTCTCTTGTTGATCCTTCAACCTGAAGACTTCATCTGCAAAAGGAGGGGGGTCCTGAATCAGCTCCTGCATCTCCTTCCAGCCATAGCATCTATCCACCGTCAATAAATATCTTCATCCTGTTCCATTGTTGTGGCATGGTCTGCCCAGAAAATCTCTTAATGAACTTATTTGTACAAAGCTGTTGAGATTAGGGCCCGATCGATATATTGGTTGGCTGATATGGGCACCTGGAGACATATCGGCTATCGGCCGATATGTCATCTTACCGATGTGGGCCGATAGTCCACATAGGCATGTTACACGTCGTTATAAAGCTTAGACTCTGTATAACAGGGGTCATTAAACTAAGGTTTGACACTGAGTTGTTGCTTTAAACATTCTAGTGTCTGATCCACGATACTGACTGACTACACATAAAAGTGAACTTCAGTGCAGTTTAGGCCAGAAACAAAACTACTGCTCGTTTTTATTAGACTTATTTGTGAAGACTTATGATCTGAGAGCTGCCTGTATGAGTGGTGAATGTTGAAAATGTGTCGACTTTGAAGCTACTTTTGGTTCTTTCTCATTGGTTAGCAATTAGTTGCTGTAGCTACCACACATAAACAGTCTGTTTTCTGACACTGGTCTAGTGTAAAGTGACTAAAGTGGCTGTACATGTTACTGGACCTGCATTAATATGTAAATGAGCTGTGAATAGAGGTGTGAATGATCAGCATTTAATTACAGCGGCTTGCACACATTTACCACTAAAGATTTATAGTAGAAGTTTACTTATAGTACTTTCTTTACTGTCTAGAATGTGATGCAAAAATGCCATTACGCCAATGTACTGTCTTTAAATATGACTGTAAAGAGGCAGAATAACAATAAATGTAGCCTAAACAATCCCAATATAAAATCCAGTAGAACCAGACCTAAGTTGAAGATTTACAGTGAATTTTATATAACTAAACTCACATTTTATCAGAATCATATTGGCCGCAAAAAATTCATATTGGTCTGGCCCTAGTTGAAATAAACAATAGCTACATCACACATGTGTATCAGTGTTGTCTTATTTTACTTTTGTTTTAAGGAAATAAATGTGCATTCAGTCTCTGCACTTGTTTTGGTTAATATTAGCAGATATTTAAAAGCTATACTATCAGAATCAGTATAGTAACTGAGTAAGCTGTATCAGTCCATCCTGAACTACTTTCCTAAACTTTCTCCCTCTCTGTCTCCAGGTGGACTTCGAGGACGTGATAGCAGAGCCCGCCGGCACCTACAGTTTCGACGGCGTGTGGAAGGCCAGCTTCACCACCTTCACCGTGACCAAGTACTGGTGCTACCGCCTGCTCACGGCTCTGGTGGGCATCCCCCTGGCGCTGGTGTGGGGCATCTTCTTCGCCATCCTGTCCTTCATCCACATTTGGGCCGTGGTGCCTTGCGTGAAGTCCTACCTGATCGAGATCCACTGCGTGAGCCGCGTCTACTCCATCTGCGTGCACACCTTCTGCGACCCGCTCTTCGAGGCCATGGGCAAGTGCTTCAGCCAAGTCCGCATCCGCACCACCAAAGAGATATAAGCAGATCTGAGAAATATCTGAAAATATCTTTACAAATACGGGATACACTTTCGAATAACTACACTGTAATTAGCTTTTTAAATTTTTATTTTCTTTTAAGTGGGACTAAACACCTAAACGCCTCACAAAACTACATTTCAAGTACTATTAGAGCTGATAAATTGGGCAGCAGCGTGGGAGTGATGTCACATAGTACTTGAAATTGCAGTACACTCACATTTAGTCAGTCATTTTCTTTGCTTTATTAAGGCTAATTAAAGTGTAGTTATTATAAAGTGTTACCAAAATATAAAGGTGCAATATGTAACTTTTTCCATTGGTTTCCATGGAGATGTAACTGTTCCACACTATGGCATTAAACTTGTCTATCTCCATGGAGACAAGCAGGCGACTTCACCAAGCCAAGTTATAGGTTGGGTCGAGTCTGTGGAAAGTTTTTGATATTTGGAGATAAAAAACAACGCAAAAATAAATAATGCCAAACTGCGGAACATTTCAGGAAAAGAAATAACATCTCTATGGATACAAGCAAAGTTACATAGTTCATCTTTTAAACTATATCTTCAAAGAATATGTGAGATTTTGGGGTTGAAGATAACGGAGAGATACAATTTTGAGTTTTAATTTTGGATTTTATTTTTGGATTTTATTTTTGAATTTTGTTTTTTTGAATTTTTGTTTTTATTTTCGGGGCTGCCGTCAGTCCTCTTTGGTGCTTGTTTGGTCTGGAGCTGTCCGTGGAGAGCTGGGTTAACAAAGCCGGGATTAAACTAACCCTGAGTCCACAAAACGCAAAACAAACCCTGGATCAGGACTGCCCTGTCTGCCCTGGGGTGACCCGAGTTTAACCCAGATGCCCTCCCGAAAACTGCTCCCGTCTGCCCTGGCGTGAACTGAGATTAAACCAGAAGCTCTTCCCGAAAAACGCCGCGTGTCTGCTTTGAGTTTACCCCGAAACTGTCCCTGGATGTATACCTGATGCCCTCCCCAATCCGCTCCCGTTTGGTCCAGTTTATATGCAGATGCCCCCTCCCCGAAAGCAGCGTCATCTCTCCAGTTTGAGCACTTATTTTTAACCCAGATGCCCTCCCCGAAACTTGTACGGCGCGCCTTCGGTTTCACCCACAACCGCCGCCAAACAAACCCAGATGCCCTCCCCAAATCCCAAATAACAACTCACTGTGCCTTCGAGTTTTGATCTACGTTTGTGCCAGATTGTCCTCTTGTCTGCTCTGGTTAGATCCCTTTTTTTTTTTAACCCAGATGCCCTCCCCGAACTGTCTCTGCTCTGCTTCTGTCTGACACTGAACTTACGCCGCCCTATAGCCTGCATCACCGCTTTACATTTTTTCATTTTGGGACCAGAATATTTTAAAGAACTAACACAAGATGATGTGAATGGAGAGACTAAAGTGGACCAATGGACTCCCCGGTTGGACGGTTTTGGGAATTTTTAAATAATTTGAAGTTTGGATGTTTTCATTTTTAATTACCATGGTATTTCCTACTTTTGTTTATTATACTGTATGTTCATGGTGGAGTTTGCAGATTTGTTGAACTTTTTATTTTATGGTTCATATCTCTGTCTTGTGTCTTCTCTGCTGGTATAAATAAACAAAAGTGAAATATTTTGTAGTTAACAGCTTCAGAAAGTGGTACCACAATTCACAAAAAGTAAATCTCTCATAGAGTTTTATAGATGTATGACCTTCCATCTGAATTTCTAACATGAAATTCCCAAATTCCATTGTAATTTTAATATGGAAAACCCAACAAGGAGGGAAAACGTTTCCATTGTCCATTGTTTAAAGTCCATATTTGTGAAGAGGTTTTTCAAAATAAAACATTAAAGGTGCATTGTGTAACTTCCACTGTGTTTCTGGTGGAAGGTCTGTTGGAGATGTTATGGCGAAATGGAGATTGCCTGGCATGTTTCACACCTTGGTATTAAACCATAGGAGACCAAATCAGACCAAGTTACAGGTCAGATCTGTGGAGAGGCGACACGGCTCACAGTCAGAACGCTTGTTTTTCTAGGTATTTTTAAGCTAAAACCAATTGTGAATAAATAAATGAACATTCCAGGCAGAGAAATAATCATCTCCATAGAAACAAGCAGGGGGCACAACCAAAAAGTTACACAGTGCATCTTTAAAGCCATGCACAGAAAGTGGTACCACAATTCAAAAACAGTAATTCTCCCATAGACCTTCCATCTGAAATTCTAACATCAAATTCCCCAATACAAATCTGTTATTCCATTGTAATTTTATTATGGAAAACGTGATTGACCTTGACACGGAGGAGAAACGTTTCCGTTGTCCATTGTTTAAAGTCCACATTTGTGAATAGGCTTTTCAAAATAAAACATTAAAGCTGTATTGTGTAACCTCCACTGTGTTTCTGGTGGAAGGTCGGTTGGAGATGTTACGGCGAAATGGAGATCGTCTGGAATGTTTTACGCTACGGTTTTAAGCCTCACTGTCTTCACAGAGACCAAACCAGACCAATTTACAGGTCAGATCTGTGGAGAGGCGATGGATATTTGAGCTAAAACCACCTGTGAATAACTAAAAGAACATTCCAGGCAAAGAAACGACATACTCCCAACCAAAAAGTTACACAGTGCATCTTTAAAGCAATGCATATCAAAGTGAAGTGGTTTTTCAAAATAAAACTATCTTAAACCTGCTTAAACACTTAACGCTTATCTGCACCTGATCTTTATTTAACTGCAGCACTTGTTTGACACTGCGCAATATATTTAGTTAATTCCTGTTTTGGACCATTTTAGAATATATTAAAATAAAATAAAAAAGAGATTTGTTTTTCCAAGTTTATTTGCAATTTTCAACCTTATATTATTTGTTTAAGGTTTTCATTCCAGTGCAATATCTGGAGGAATAGTTTGGGATTTTTAATAGCACTAATGTCACCTTTGATTTAGATAGAATTCAACTTAAATACTTAAAATTGCCTTAATTTTTTTTTTTTTAAACAATTGTGTTTAAAGAGGGCAACTAATGTAAACTTCAAATATTCTGGACTATTTGGGATTTTAAAACAGCTTTTGTACTATTTAGGATTGGGATTTTTGGTAGATTAAAGCTGTACTGCGTGACATTTTGTCTCCATGGAAACAGTAAAATGGCATGCCCACAACACAGCCAAGAGAGGCAGATCTATGGAGAGGCAATATAAGGAGACTGGTTTATGTGATTTTATTTTTTTTTTACTTTTTACTACTATATCTATTGTCAATGAAATGTTACACAGTGTGGCTTTAAAAATACCATCAAAATAGCAAAGATAATAAAAGTTGCTTAGTTCCTCTTTAAAATCAATTTGGTTTTCGTGCCTTAAAATCTTCCATTGTACTTGTGTAGAAAATGTTGGACTCTTCTCATGAAAAATCTCTATTCCTGGGTTTAGCATTCATAAAGTTGTAATATTTGATTCATTTTTTCTCATACATTTTGCATTTTAAACTCTCTTGCGCTCAGTTCTGGACACTAAAGCCTGCTTCTCTCCACTGCTGTCCATGTTTTTGTTGAACTGAACTGAAATGTTTGTATTTTATTTTGTGACGATTTCCTGCTTTTGACTCACGCTGTGCACATTAAAGTTTGATTTTGTCACTGGGATCTGGCCTGACTTGTTTACATAATTTTACATAATTTTAAAGTTTTATATTACGTCTATTCATTGTCTTTAAAGATGAAGAATTATGCTTTTTAAAGAATTATACCATGTTATAACACTGTTTTCTTAGCTGAAGAGGTTTTAGATGTCATCCATGGATATTTGAGTATTTTAGCCATCTCTCCCAGGCCCTACTTGAACCTAGGAAGCACCACCTGGGGCCTTCGCTCAATTTCATTTCTCTCCAGGGACTAGGTCAGTAATCAGAATACAATCAGCGAAGAGACATATATTCTGTGTTGGAAACGATTCCCGAGATCGAGGATTTAAAGCCAGAATAAAGAGAATGTTGGGTGAATTTTATCAAGGGGAAAGACGTTATTGTCCTTCTTCCTACAGGATTTGGGAAAAGCTACTTCATGACCAAATAGCAGTGATTGGTTAAATTTAAAAAAAGTACCCTACCCACATACCATCGAGCGAATGAATTCTAATGCTGCGAAATCAGATGGTTTCTACAAAGTAAAACCAGCTGATGAATCAGGCTAACTTGAACCCTCTTTATGGTTAGTTGTAAGATTCTGTTCAAGACTCAAAAAAAATATACAGTATTTTCTGCACTATAGGGCGCACTTAAAAGCCTAATCAAAAAACGACTGCGCACCTTATAATCCAGAGCACTTTATATATGAATTTATTCAGGTGTCTTAATACGACTTCAGTAAACTACAAAGCCGCAACACTTGCAACATTACGGCTCTCGTAGTCAGGAGCATCGCAGAGTAATACATACTGTGATTCCTTTTAATATCAAAATGCACCTGTCAAGAGACACGCTTACAAAGCCCACTTTAAACTCAAGGTTATTATAAAGTGAAAGTGTGGGAGCAGTGGCTGAGAGAAGGCGAACACACATTCACCAAGACAGGGAGACAGCGCCGAGCGACTTACGCCAACCACGATCTGCCAATGGATCGTGGACGCCTGGGCTAAGGATCAGTATCAACTGTGGTCTGAGCTTTTCACCAAGACCAGAATCATCACTGAACTGCCAGGGAACAGTAACCACACTGACTAAAGTTTGACTGACTTATCTTATAATCCAGAGCGCCCTATAGTGTGGAAAATATGGCTATGGGAACCACTTTAGGTCCCCATGGAGGAGCTGGAGGAAGTGTCTGGGGTGAGGGAAATCTTGAAGGGTTGGATGATACAAAACAATACACTGCAACTTAATAAATCTAAAGCAGTGTGCTGTAGTTTCATTAGGGATGTGCATGTTTTTTTCAGCAAATCTATCATTTTCAAAACAATAAAAGGTAACATGAAGATGATGTGTTTTGTGTGAATACTCCATGGAAGTGAAAAACCCTCCTGAAATGTTTGGATGATGTGGACATGTGGCGTTGGAGAAACACAGGGCTTTTGTTTGAGCTGTAGTTCTGGGTGAGTCATGCTGCCCTGTGCTTAGTTTAGTTCACCACTTTAGCCAGTTTTATTACATGAAACAGAATACACTTGCTCTGTTGCCCTGGTTGCCCTCCTCAACAAAAACAGGAACAAAACTCCAGCTATGTCCTTCTGAGGTCTGCCCCACTGCTCCTGACAGGTTTAACCCAGAGGCACTGAGGCACTGAAGGATGGGTCAAATGCAGGTTTAATGCAGAGACACCAAATGATGGGTCAAATGCCAGTATAACCCATAGACACTTGAGAATTGGTCAAATACTAGTTTAAAGCCAAGCCACTGAAGGATGGGTCAACTGCAGGTTTAACCCAGAGGCACTGAGGGATGGGTCAAATGCAGTTTTAATGCAAAGACACAGAAGAATGGTTCAAATGCAGGTTTAACACAAAGACACTGAAGGATGGGTCAAATACAAGTATAACCCAAAGGAACTGAGGCTGAAGGATGGGTCAAATAAAGGTGTAACACAAAGATAGTGAAGCGTAGATAAAGTGAAGGTTTAACTCAGAGACACTAAAGGATGGTTGAAATACAGGTAACCCAGAGACACTGAGGTACTGAAGTACTGGGTCAAATGCAGGTTTAACCCAGAGATGCTGAAGCATGGGTGGGGAAGATTTACTTAAAGATGTTTAATCCCTCAGTCATTGATGTAGGATCCAGAGCAAAAGAAAATATCACTTCTGTCGATTGGACAAAAGTGTTTTTGAGTGAAGATTATTGTCATTTTTTGGCCTTAGTGGGAATTTTTGGGGGATTTGCTAACCTATATATTTTTGGAAAGGTTATTGTATATGGAGTCAGAAAATCAATGTTTGCATTTGCCCAGATGTCTTTATGGTGGCTATATTGGATTTTTTTTTTTAAATGGCCGCCAAAAAACTCTTTTTGGAATATCTCAGCCTCTGAATAAGTTGAAATGTTGATTTTAACTGCTAAACCCACATTTTCAGGGTCAGGGAATCAAATGGTGCTAGTTACAAAGCTGTAAGACCTACCCACATTAACCCTTAGATGTATAAGTGGGACAAAAATGACCTGGTTTGGTTGTTTTCTTGCAATTTCACTGTAATATTCACATCCATGTTACTCCAAAAACATGTTGTTTTTTTTGTTATCCTGCTGAAATACATCTACAATATGGGTAAAACAAATTATAAACATCACATGTAGTGGGTCAGAAAACTGAAAGAGTTTAAAAGTAGCTAACATAAAATTTGGATGTTGAATGTCAACAAACACATTTAGACACAATATGATTACTCAACCTTTTTATTAGACATTTTCTATACATCATCATTATCATCATCACTTTCATACAACCATAGACTGTATACAGTAAAAAGGTTGAGTAATTTCAGTTTTCTGACCCACTACATGTGATGTTTATAATTTGTTTTACCCATATTGTAGATGTATTTCAGCAGGATAACAAAAAAACAACATGTTTTTGGAGAAACTTTGAGTATTACATGTGAATATTACAGTGAAATTGCAAGAAAACAACCAAACCGGGTCATTTTTGACCCACTTATGCACTGAAGGGTTAATGTGGGTAGGTTTTACAGCTTTGTAACTAGCACCATTTGATTCCCTGACCCTGAAAATGTGGGTTTAGCAGTTAAAATCAACATTTCAACTTATTCAGAGGCTAAGATATTTCAGAAAGGGTTTTTTGGTGGCCATTTAAAAAAAAAAAAAATTCAATATGGCCACCATAAAGACATCTGGGCAAATGCAAACATTGATTTTCTGACTCCATATACAATAACCTTTCCAAAAATATATAGGTTAGCAAACCCCCCAAAAATTCCCACAAAAGTATATAAGGAACTGGACTAAGAACTGAAGAATTTGCATTATAATGACAGTGAATGTCTTTGATAGAACTGAATTTTTCTTGTGCTATTATGTGCATTATGTACATAAAGCACATAATAGCACTTTTTTTCTTTTTTTTTTACTTTCACCTCTCCTCTGATCTGAGCTGCACCAACTGATTCTGGAGATAAAGATTCCAGGTAAAATAACATCTCCACTGAGTTGAGCTGGAGACAGATCCTCCATAAAAAACAGGTTTGCAGTTTACATAATCCAGTGTCCTTGGCAGCCCTTTGAAACTCTGAACCTCTGAACCTCTGAAACTGTGCTGTAGAATCACAATCACTCAGTAAAATGTGTAAAAGTTTTGAGTAAAAGAGAGAAGGAGAGAGAAAGAGTAGAGAGGGGGAGAAAGAGGAGGGAAAGGAGAGACAGACAGGGGAGACAGAAGAGAAGGAGGGGGAGAGAAGAGAAGAAGGGAGAGAGGAGAGACAGAAGAGAAGGAGGGAGAGGAAGAGTGGGAAGAGTGAGAGAGAGGCACAGTGTGAGAGAGGGAGAAGAGCGCGTGCCACCAGCTCCAGCGTAAGACGCATTTTTTCCGAACCCTGGCATTACGTCTCCACGGCAACGAGAAACACAAATAAGAACCACCAAAAATACTACTGGAAATATACACAGTGAAGAGAGAGAGCGAAAGAGGGGAGGAGAGAGATGGGGGAGGAGAGGAAAAAGGAGAGAGAGATTTTGAAAAATAAATTGAAATTAATTTAAAATGCAATGCTGTTAGTTGACAACAATAATCAGGAGTAAACTTATTGTAGTCATGCAAAAGTTACAGGACCAGGGACTAAATCAGAACTAAACTAGGAACTCCAAAAGCCTCTTGTTTTGACACTTTTTTTTTTAACCTGGATGCCCTCCCATAAACTGCTACACTGTCTGCTCTGGGTAAGGTAGGAGTAAACAGCAGCTAAAACAGAACTAAGCCAGAACTAAACCAGGACAAAACCAGAATAAAACCAGGACTAAACCAGGAGTAAACAAGAACCAAACCAAGACTAAACCAGAACTAAACCAGGATTAAACCAGGACTAAACCAGGACAAAACCAGGATAAAACCAGGGATAAACCAGGGCTAAACCAGGAGTTAACAAGAACTAAACCAGAATTAAACCAGAACTATACCAGGGCTAAACCAGGACTGAACCAGGAGTAAACCAGAACTAAACCGGAACTAAACCAGAACTAAACTAGAACTAAACCAGGACTAAACAAGGACTAAACTGGAACTAAACCAGAACTAAACCAGGACTAAACCAGAACTAAACCAGAACTAAACAAGAACAAAACCGGGGCTAAACTAGGTCTAAATCAGGAGTTAACAAGAACTAAACCAGAACTAAACCTGGACTAAACTAGGGCTAAACCAGAACTAAACCAGGACTAAACCAGGAGTAAACCAGGACAAACCAAAACTAAACCAGGACCAAATCAGGACTTAACCAGGACTAATTCAGCACAAAACCAAGCCTAAACCAAGCCTGAACCAGGACTAAAACAGGACTAAAACAGGGCTAAAACAGGAAGATTACACTGTGAAAAAGAGCGCCACCTACTGGACTGGTTTACTCCAACATGAAATCAGCAGGATGCATATGGTCCTGGTCTGGTCTTGGTTTGGTTCTAGTCTCATCATGGTCTGGTTCACATTTG